CCACTTTTGCTCTATTTTTATTTTTTTTTTTTTTTTTTCTTTTATTTTTTCTGTTTTTTTTCTTTTTTTTTTTTTTTTTTTTATTTTTTCTTTTTTTTTTTTTTCTGTTTTTTGGTAGGTTGTTTTTTTTTTTATTATTTTTTTTTATCGTGCCGGTCGTGCTCAAGGCACAGGGGGACGCAAGCGAGGTGAGTGGTATCATCATCAGGATTTGTGTTGCCACCTTGGCTCATGCCGGCTCAGACCGTTCGGGTTTGCACGCAGGCGTGCTCGCGCTGGTGATTGTCGGTAAAAAGGTGCGGCGCCCGTCATGGCCCCCAAATGTGCCATGTCCGCTCCGTGCGAGCAGCTCAATAACTCAATGCTAGAGATGGGCGCCGAAGTGAGTGTAGATGGTTTGAGTACATATGTTGGCAGCCATCATATACGCATGTGGGGCTCCTCGGTAGCGTAACTTAACGTCGTCCTCCCCGCGACCTGGCCCGCGACCCACCCGCGACCCACCCCGCGACCCGCCCGCGACCCACCCGCGACCCACCCCGCGACCCGCCCGCGACCCACTCCACGACCCACCCGCGACCCGCCCGCGACCCGGCCCGCGACACACCCGCGACCCACCTGCAACCCACCCGCGACCCGGCCCGCGACCCGCCCGCGACCCACCCTCTCGCGACCCACCCGCGACCCACCCGCGACCCACCCCGCAACGCACCCATATTGTTTTAACGATACATCGGCGCTTGCGGCGGGCTCGTTGTATAATTTATAAAAGTCGTGCGCCTGCGGCGGGCCGTGTCGGCGCTTCGCAGATTGCGAGCGTCCCCGACGCCCCCTCACTTTTATCTGCTATTGCGGGGGGGCTATGCGTTATCACAGGTTCTGATGCTTCATGGGTCAGGACGTTTGCGCTTCAGGGAACGGCGCGAACGGCGTTTCAGCGAATGGAGGGATGGGATCGGATTTTAGGTGAGGAGGTTAATGTATGAGAGAGCGTGACCCACCGCCGCTTTACTATGGAAAATTCGCCCCCCGTCTTCCTCCAGAGCCCAGGGCCCCCCCACCACGTTCCGAAAATCTCTCCCACCCCCCTGCTCGAACCCCCCCCCCGAGGCGCCGACCAGGCTCACTTCCCAGCCACCCGCCCCGCCCCCGCCCGCCCTCTCATTCCGAGGCCACCCCGAGCCCCCCTACACCTTTTTCCAAGGTGGTCCAGGAAGTGTTCCCAAAAAACTCCATAGGAACCCCTTGTAGCTCCAGAGCAGGCCCCATCCTCCTCTTCCTCCTCCTCGTCTTGCCTCTTCTATTCTCTGTGAGCAAGCTCCTGCTGTCTCCGCAGCTTCTCTGCCCAAGTGCCCCCCGTCGGCCGCGCGCGCGGGCGCCTTATGCAGGCGGTCGCACAAGCGGCTCTCCAGGGCGCTGGGGAGATCTTCTTCAGGGGGCTGCGGGCCGCGCTCTACGAGCGGCTCGTGGCTGCCCCCCTCTCTGTGCTTCAGGACCAGGGGCCTCCATCGCCTGCCTGGTCCATCCAGCAGGCGGACTCGTCCGAGGGTGAGGGGGCCACTTGCCCCCTCCCTTCGGCGGGTTCCGCCTGCCCCACCGTCTGCCTCGGGCTGGCGGTGGACCTGAGCGGCGGGGTCTCTCCCTGGCTGCTCAGCACGGTCGCCGCCCTCCTCTGGGTGACGGCCGCTTGCAGCGCCTGCGCGGGCTGCTGCCTCGGGCTGCTGGGCCCGTGCGTGTGGCGGAGGCTCTGGCCCTCCGCCTGGCCGCGCGGCGCGGTTCCTGCTTCCCCTGAGCAGGGCCGCCGTGCGGCGCGAGCGCTGGCCTACGGGGTTCCGCCTCGACCTCAAGCGCTCGAGCGGGCAGACGCCCAGCGTGCGGGCGGCGGCTTCCACGGCGGCGCCCATTGATGGCGGAGCTGCCACCAGTTGGCGGAGGGCCCCTTTGGCCCGAGCTCTACCCTATCGCTGCGCCCACGGCGCGCGACTACGCACGATGGCGCCTAGACGACGGCGACACCAGCTGGGCGGCTATCCCCCTCGCCTCTCGAGAAGGGGGCATCCTGCTGGCCCTGCCTGGTTCCTTTCGCTCTACAGCGGAGCTCGAGGCTGCCGAGGCGGATGGCTTTGCTGGGATGATAGGCCCCTTCCAGCTAGTGGACGTCCAGCTCCAGGGGGCCGCTTCACGGCCGCTCGCCACTACCGCATCCGTCCTCGTTTTAGATATCGAGGTTGCCGAGCTCGAGCTCGAGTCGCTGTACCCTCTAGAGGTCGGCGACGACGCAGGCATCGTTCCCTTCGCCGAGGTGCGCAGCCGCGTCTATTGGCCGCATCCTTCGGGGGTTCGGGTGCTTCGCGAGGGCTGCGCTCGCTTGCACGGCGCCCCGCCTACCGCAGGGGAAGAGCCTCTCCCAGGGGCCGATCGGGCTACCCCCTATCACTCTGCCGACGAGATGGAGGAGCCCGAGGGGTTCGCGGCCGACGGGGAAGCCGACCGCACGGCC